CTGCACCTGATTCGTGGGCCGCACGAACCGCAAAGCACCTCTGGGCCTGGCTGAAGGGGAATGGTCGAATCGGCCGCCTTTTCAGATCCAGGATCTAGCGAGTCATGTGTGTTCCTCACCTGCACGCCCGGTGAAGCGCGGGAGACGGACATGATATCATGAATCTCACGTGTGCCTCTCACCGCCACTTCGGTCTCACCGATGGCCGCTCCACCACCTTGTCGCCCCAATCCTTGGGGGGGGGGGGCATGGACCCCGTTCAGTTGGTGAGGACTCCGAAGTCCCCTTTTCCCTTTTGCCCGAGGCCGTGGTCCTCGGCAATCACGCCCATCAACCTTCGTTGCTCCTCCAACGGCGGCAGGCACGATGGTAGAATGGATGGGGCTGCAGGTGCCAGCACATCCGCGCGCCCGGAGTGGGGATTTTGACCCGCCTACGAGCGGTTTCTTCCCTTGATCCGGCACAATCCGATGCTCCTCCCGCCGCTACGTCGAATGCGGCACCGTTAGGGGCAGGGTCATCAACTGCGGGTTCCGGCACATCCACCCTTGTTGGGTCGTTGTTCGGGTTTGCTCTGGCGTTGTACATGACTGCTCCTCCTCCGGCGGCACCGGCTCCAACGGCAGATAACACAGTAAGTACAACACACATCTATCTTTTCATATTCGATTTTTGGGCCGATTAGGTTTTTTGGGGTGGTTGTTTTGACTTGGTATGATTTGATCCAAGTGGCGAGGACTATGATCCGTTTAGTACTGCTAGTATTGCTAGGCTTACTAGGATTGCTAGGATCCGACTCAACTGATTGATAGGATTGCTACGAACATAGTATAGGTGCATGATTATGATTAGTGTAGGATTGCTTGCATAGAATGTGCATGTCTATGATCAGTATAGGACTGCTAGGACTGGTACATGTGCTTGCTATGTGTCCATGCGTATAATGTGCATGATCAATGCATTGATCAAGCCAATGCACATTGCTACGACCAGTGCATTGATCAAGGAAACGCACATTGCTATGATCAGTTCATTTGATCATACGGATGCACATTGCCATGATCAGTTCATTGATGTACATTGTAATGGTAGATAGTCCATTTTGCTATGCTACCAACCCATGTCGAGTGGGATGTCATCGGTGGTGGCGTCCTCCACCGAAAGTCTTGGAGGACGTGATCTATGGATCTCGGGGAGGAGGGAGGCAGCGGTGGCGGTGATGTCTCTACCCATGCTTGGCCGCAGGCTGTTCTACGTGTAGATCAAGAACGATGACGACCTCGCCTTCCTGGTTGTCCCGAAGGCTTTTCAGCCAGTCCCAAGGAGGTGATTCTACATTCGGCTGTCTCGTGGCGTGCCGCTCGCCGCTCGCAAGTGGTGTAACTACTGGGTGCAGGTTCAGCAGTTGGGCAACAAGGAGGTGATGGAGCAGTGCTAGAGCAACTCCTGCTGAAAGGACCTCGTGCTTGCCGGCGATATACTCGTTGTCAAGATAGACACCTTTTGCTGGCAACTCTGAATATTTTGCTGAAAACTAATGATATTTTGCTGCCTTAAAACTGTACCCTTCAAATGTAGGTATCTGTGTGATAGCTAATGTGTTGTGTTAATTGTGTGTCTTATGTGATGTTAATGTGTTATGTGCTTGCTAGTGCTAAGATCGCCATTTTTGAAAGGGATGAGCAAAACAACACATTGCACACAACCAAACAGTTGTGGTTTGCATTTGCTCAGTCTTAAACCACACATGCCATCCAAACATACAGTTGCTTCGTCTTGCTAATTTTCTTCAAGTACTTACGTTTTGCATGAGGTTGTCTACATCTCGCAGAAGGTTGACACAGCTGGTACACGTGTTTCCTAGTCTAGGTGTTTGTTTCTTTTCATGGAAAAAATGAATCTAGGTTGGCAAGGCATACACGGTAACTTCACTGCTAGACACGTCCAAGTTACAAACAGACACAAAATTGATCAACGGTGAAATGCAAGGGACCGAATGAAACAAATTGCACAACATGGCCCCAAAGGTTGTTTCTACTTAGCCAAGCTAAGTCGGGCCATAGATACAAGAGGACCATATTTTGATGCAAGCAACCAAACATGCACATAACATTCCTCGTTAAAGGAACCATACCAGGATTCAGAATGTGTGCAAATGTTACACACTTCCCCTGCTCTTTTGTTGCAGATCAGTAGATGAACATTCACAAGATCAGTTCCTCTTTTTGCGCAAAAGCATCCTGCCAAACTCAAGTTCAGATACTACAATGCTTTGACCATCATCCCCTCAAACACTGATCTCATCTCTCTAAGTGCGGGGAGAAAAGTTCCATACGTTCAGTTACATGAATTCAACACATTACAGTGGAGTGCACAACCTATAGCCGTGCTCGCCCATTTCTCCTTGGCTCCGTTCTTCTGTTCTTCCTTGTTTTACATTGATCCTATTTCCGCCTGTCCTTGGCCCTTTTGAACGTTTGCTTGCCCTTGTTCTTCCACTTCTGGTTGCCTCCGGGTGTCCGGGCCACCTGAATTTCCCTTACCTTACGCATCCTGCAATTTAACGGAGAGCCATGTTCTTCAGTTTCAGGAATTCTTAAACGGAAAAGATGCATTATCTACCAACTTTAGTTATTTAAATTCAGTGTATAAATTTAGTTTTCTTCTTTTCAGAGACTCGAGAACTTCTGATATGCTACAGGTTGAATCTATCCCCTCAAACTTCAAAAGTAGATGGTGATTCATTTGCTCGAATGCTGCGTCACAACCCAGCTCCAAACCAATTAAAGGCTCTAGTCTATTTTACAGTATGGTTCTGTTGTTGTATAACAACCGATGAACTCTTCGATCTGGAGGGCCATATGCAATTAATACACAAAAACTTTTACTGGCAGGTGATAACAAGACTCCAGTGATCTGCATGTGGATAGAAAAGGATGATGGGCTTACCTGTAGTTCTTGAGTTTTTGGTCAGATAACAGCTCATCAACCAAGGTCTGCTTCCGTTCATGCTTTGTCAACCTACTTGAGTAGAACTCAGATGCAGGCTCAATAACCGTTCCAACCTAAAACCATCATCAAAATATTCAGCACATTAACTACTGATGAGCATTCACAAATTTTCAATGGTATGGTATCCAAAATATCTAATAAAGCTCGCGATACGACCACTTACTTGGAAATACTTCGGAAGAGCCTTGGATTTACCAGACCTCTTGAAATGCCTTTTAGGGTCCATTACATGCCTCAGCTGCAAAACATATGTTGAGCATATTGTGCTTAAGCCACCAAAACATTAAAACTCAAGAATAAGTAGATGGCCGTCTAACATTGTGATTCAACATTTACATAGTATTTCAACTCACGATGTTCAGTTCTTAAAAGTAACACAGTCCGACCAGATTGCAATACTATCCGATAAGCCTCCAAAGACGGCGCATGTTCACAAGCAAATGAGGAATGCTAAGTGTTCACTAAACCATACATGCTTGCATAATTGTTAAATTTCATTCTATTGAGAGCAGACAAAAGGAAAGCAGCAGTACTTTGTTTTAGGGGAAGCCTGGCTATCCAAAATAACACACAAGCAGATGCTCTACTTTCACTCAAGCACTACTACACACTTATAAAATGGCTGATGCTTGCCCGTCAGGAATTCAGGATCACCTTCCTAAATGCTAAATTAAACAGGCGTTTTTCTGTTTTCCCAAGTTACATAATGGAGCCCCACACTGAATTCTACTACTGACAACAGCGCCCTAAGTGTAACACCATACCTGCAAAATCTCAAGGTCTTTCTTCAACTCGGGAGTGATGCTCGGCGCCGGCAT